TGAGCCGGTGAGATTTGAACCGCCGAACTGCAGATAGCAGTCAGCTGAAGTGGCCTGCACTCTAACCACTGCGCCACCTCGGCTCTAAGTCTTAAAGTTGCCAAGGCTGGAAACCCCTGGCTTAAGCGGTTGCAAAGATGACAGAGCCACAGCTAGGATCAAACAGGCTAAGGAGACCCTACAAATGAAGAACTGTATATATAGAGTTTGTACTTTCCCATCCATCTGCAGATATATGCAGCCGAAGAGCCAGCGCTGTCCGAAGATGTCTCTGTGGTCATGGGGCCGGCATGACTAAATGCCGAAGGTGCACGGAACACTTTAATCCAAGGTGGTTCCTATTTTTCTGCTTACATTTTTACATGCTTTTGAACTGCTAGGTTGGCAGAAGTTGGGACAAGTAACGGGAGCTCAATCCGTTACGTGGCGTTTGGGATTTGAACCGCAGAACTGCCAACCTTTCTGATCGACAAGCTCAGTGTTTTAGCCATTGGGTGACCACATAACCTATATATGTGTGTGTACACACACACACACACACACACACACAGAGGAGTTGGAAGTCAAATATTTCTCTTTTCTTTTTTCCCCCTTAACCTACACTTCTTTCTCTTCCCCTTCCCCATTTCCCCAACAAGTTGCACTTTTTTTTTGTATTTTATATCTCGATAATGAAATTAATAAAAGAAACCAAAATGTGACCGGCATACTATAACAAATTGCTGTTTGTAAGATTAGCTGCCAACGGAGTCATACACTATTTCAACTATCGTTTATGTCAACTCTCTCTTCCCTTCTTCTCACATCTGCCTCGGGATCTCTTGGCTTCCAACATCTGCAACCTGAACCTGTCTCTTTATCTAGTGATTTTTGCTGTGCTAAAAGTAATACAGATATACTTTGGCTACCACTGAGCTCAGCATGCTGATATTCCAAAATGTATTTGATTGGTAGTCAGTTAAACCAGGGGTCGGCAACCTTAAATATTCGAAGAGCTACAAAAGTCCTAACCAAAAGTCCCCCATTCAATTCTGGAGCCAACCAGAAGTCTGGTTCCCCCCACCAGAGTCTCCTCTTAGCATGGCATCCTTTTTTCTCTGCTGACCGGAAGTCCAATTCCCCCACCATAGTCTCCTCCTAGCATGGTGTCCTTTTTCCTCCAGCTGTCCTAACTAAAATCCCTAACCCTATCAATTGTGGAGCAGACTGGCAACAGGGAGCCGCAGCAGAGGGATGAAAGAGCCACATGCGGCTCCAGCTGACCCTTGAGTTAAACCAATAGTCTTTCTATTAACTATGTCAATTGATTTTACAGGAACACCTACGCAGACGAGGAGAGCTGGAATTGGGGTGCAATGTTTGACATGGATCATGGCCAGGAAACTCGGCAAGTGGCCTTCTCGGGCACCGGAGAAACACAGCCTAAAAAAAAAAGAGAAGAAGGAAACACTCCTGAGCCTATTTTATTTTAGCTCCTTTCAACAAACACATAATTTAACTTCCTTCTGACGGCAGAAGATACAGAAACCCAATGGGGAATATTTAACACTTGAAGAAAAATAAAAAGATTCAGTTTGTTACTTAAGAGTGGCAAGTGACAAAAATAGGTATTTCACACCTCCAGTGTTGTGTTTAGAGGGACACTGTCTTCCCACATTCTGGTACTTTCCAGGTGTGATGGATTTCAGGTTTGGATGACCACTCCACTGATGGATAAAGTGGAAGAGGAGAACATAGATGTTGGCTATTGGGGTGAGTTAGGAGGAGAAGAAAAATCAACGATTTCTTAGATGCTTCTCAATGATGTGACATTTCTCCCAAGTTGTTGAATTTCTGGATCCCTTCCCCTGTCCTGCACAAACTCTCTGATGAAATAACTACTGAGAATGGTTAGTCCAAAATCCAGGATCCCCAAGAATGAATGGGATTTGAATGTTCAGTCCTGGGCATCTATTAAAAACCACTGTGATGTCATAGGATACGATTGAGATAAAACCCACATAATTGGAGACATAATATGATGTACATGACATCACTCAGCCCTGATCTGGAGGCCCATAGTAGCAATAGCACTTAGACTTATATACCACTTCACAATGCTTTTACAACCCTCTCTAAGCGGTTTACAGAGTCAGCCTATTGCCCCCAACTATCTGGGTCCTCATTTTACCCACCCCGGAAGGATGGAAGGCTGAGTCAACCTTGAGCCGTTGAGATTTGAACTGCTGAACTGCAGCTAGCAGTCAGCTGAAGTAGCCTGCAGTACTGCACTCTAACCACTGTGCCACCTTGGCTCCATAAGATTAATATTCTGTTACACTAGGTATTTTCAAAAGAAGTGGATCCAGACAAAATTAACGCCTAATTAAATATGTCTATGGGGACTCTCAGTCATCCAGGTCATGGTTGTCCCAACGGTGCTTTTCTTTGAAGATCTTTTGCTTCTCATCCAAGAAGGAGGATTTAGACTCCTTGCAGACAGCTGGCCATTTGCACTCTAAAAGAACAAACCCTTCCATTCCCCACCACCAGAGGTGGGTTCCTACCAGTTCGCACCTATTCGGTAGAACCGGTTCATCAAATCTACCAAACCGGTTAGAAGAGGTTCCACCAGTGGATCCCTAAAGCAGGCCACACCTACAGAAGGGGTTCCAACATTTTTTGAAACCCACCACTCACACACACACACACACACACACACACACACACACACACACACACACACAGACTGACTGACAGAGAGAGAAAGAGAAAGAGAAAGAAAAGAAGAAAGAAAGAAAAAAGAAAGAAAAAGAGTGAGAGAGAGATGAAAGAAAAAAAGAAAAAAGGGACAGAGAGACAAAAGGAAGGAAAGAGAGAGAGAGAGAGAGAGAGAGAGAGAGAGAGAGAGAGAGAGAAAGAAAGAAAGAAAGAAAGAAAGAAAGAAAGAAAGAAAGAAAGAAAGAAAGAAAG